ACTAATCCTTAAAAAAAAAAAACAAGTTGCAAAACCAGAAACGTGAATACAGACGCCAACTCAATCACTTCTTGAGGCAATCTTGTGATAAATGGTGCTTAAAGGCATCTTGTCTTTGTCTTCATTTATTTGAAGTAAAGCACTGCCCATCTCTTGGGAGAACAGCTGATATGCGGTAATAGTGGCCTAAGTATTAATTAATGGTGCTTAATGGTTTATGAAGAGTCTTTAATTAAGTAGATGATCAGTATGCAAAATCAGAGACATGCACAGTGAGGAAGTCTGATCCATGGGAGTTATTCCTTTTCTTTCTTCATAAAGTTTCACATTTCATTTTAAGTTGTCACCTTTATTTTTAATGCTTTTTTGTAATATAAATGAACCCGGCAATTATGGCCTGAACTCATTAAGATCAGAGCTCCATTTTCTATCAAAATCTAGAATAGTGATTTACAATTCTATGAAGTCCAAGTCGAAATGCATTTGGAGAGTTCCTGAGAGCTACAATTACACTGTCAACTTCAGTCAGTCTCTGATATATGTACACACAGTTTTAACTAAGTAAAAAAGAGTTATTATTAATTCCTGCAAAGGAAATGATTTCCTACATACAGTGGTGTGAAAAAATGTTTGACCTCTTCTTGATTTTCTATTTTTTTTTTGGATATTTGTCACACTTACATGTTTCACATCATCAAACAAATTTTAATATTAGATAAAGATAACCTGAGGAAATGCAAAATGTAGCTTTAAAATGATTTTATTGATTAGGGGAGAAAGGTTATCCAAACCTACTTGGTCCTGTGTGAAAAAGTAATTACATGTATAGTTAAATTGTGAATTAAATGTGATTTAATTGATGATTTTAGTGTTTAGTGTCACTAAACACACTCAGGCCTGATTATTGGCAGATATGCTGAATCAAGAAATCATGCACCACCATTCTTAAGATTTTGGGGCTGCAGTGAACCACAGTGAGAACCATTATACACAAATGGAGAAAATTTGGAACGGGGGTAAAACTAGACCTAGGAGTGACCAGCCTACCAAATTACTCCAAGAGTGCATGGATGACTCATCCAGGAGGTTGGAAAAGAACCCAGAACAGCATTAAAGAACGGCAGGGTTCACGTCTCAGTTAAGGTCAGAGTTCATGATTCAACAACAACAAGAAAGAGACTGGGCAAAAATGACATCTATAGGAGAGTTCAAGGAGAAAACCACTGGTGACCAAAAAAAGACAAAGGCTTGTCTCACATTTTCCAAAAAAGTGTGATGATCTGGGGCTGTTTTGCTACCTCAGGACCTGGAAGACTTGCTGTAGTAAATGGAACCATGATTTCTGCTTTCTACCAAAACAACCTGAAGGAGAATGTTCAGCCATCTGTTTCTGACCTTAAGCAGAAGCGCATTTGGGTTTTGAAGCAGGGCAATGATCCAAAACACATCACCAAGTCCACCTCTGAATGGGTTAAGAAAAACAAAATGAAGACTTTGGATTGGTCTAGTCAAAGTCCTGACCTGAATCCGATTAAGATGCCGTGGCACAGCCTTAAAATGTTTTTGATGATCTGAAACATCTACGTGCAATAAACATGCAAAAAACTAGGACATCGGGAAGGGGGCAAACACTTTCTCACACCACTGTATGCCACATATCGTTTTTTTTAAATGTTTTTTTTTTCTATTTTAAATACATATATATATTTTTTAGCTTTGAGTCCAGTGTATGATCCTGGCATTGGGAGACAGATTGTGTGCCAGTTGCTCTGACAAATTTAAAAAACAGAGCAGGTAAAATTGGGATTCTAGTGGTTTGCCTTTGCATTTGCATATATTAGATTATATTGTCTGTTCCCGTGGCTATGCTGTGCTTAAAATATAGTGTTTGATTTACTTTTTATGGCGGTGGTCTGCCTCCCCTGCAGATTCATGATCTGTGGAGGCAGACTGAATGTATGTGTTTTGTTTCTTTTATTCGAGTTCCCTGCTGCTGCTGCTGCTTCTGTCTGTGTGGCCACGCTTGATGTACATGTTAAGACCCACACTAACTGATTATTTATTCCGGCTTTTTGCCTCCCCGGACCGAGGTGTTGATTCCTCTCTTCCCTACTGGATACACACACGCACGCACGCATGCACGCACACACGCACACACACACACCACTGTCTCCCCACAGCCTCTCCCTTCAGGCAGGGGTTATGCAGTGTCATGCAGGTTAGGTCTCTCTCTCTCTAGGGGTTCGCCTGGAGGCAAACCTGAGAGAAAAGAAGGAGTGGAGTGAGTGAGAAATGAAAAAGAAAGATACTTGGTGTAGATTTGTATTGTGAATAGAGTCAAGGGAATGAAAAGGGGATCTCAGGAATGAGAGTGAGTTCAGGCAGGGTTCTGGAGGGGGTGTTGCATGGGGAGGGAGAGGAGTGGGTGAGGAGAGGAGGGGTAGGGGTGGAGTCGGGGGCTCTGCTATTTGTAGATCCTTGTGATGGATGACTAGTGTGTGTGTGTGTGTGAGTGAGTGTGTGTATGTGTGTGTGTAAGAGAGAGAGACTGGCATTTTTTTTCTTTCCTCTCTTTGCCTATTCCCTCTCTCTTCAGGCGAGCAGAGCAGAGCGGGACTGAGTGAGAGGAGGACAGAGACGCAGACGTGTGCAGACCAGAGCACACCAACTCCACAAAGACAAGAGAGAGGAGAAGAGTTTGCAAGGAGAACATAAGAAACAACTGCTTATTTTTCTTTTCTTTTCTTTTTTTTTCTCTTTTACATCTGCAAACTGTGGTGGATATCAAACCAGCATCAAAAGAATTCTACAAGAAGAAAAAAGGATTTGCATGGCTTTACAGCAGAGAGGAAAATATTAGCATTTCTCACGTGTAGTTTTTTTTTTGTTCATATTCATCAAATATATGAATTTATTCTAGTGGACTTGTAAGGTGTAACAAGACTCTTGGAAGCAGACGTAGAGAGGGGAAGGTGGACACACAGAGAAGTAAGGGCTTGTTAAAGAAGAGCAGGTTGTCGTTCTGGTGAATATGGCCATTAGAGAAAGCTGGTTTGAGGCAGGCATGGGCAGGTTGGCCAGGCAGCCACTCTGGATGTGGGTGGCGATGCTCTCTGCCCTGATAGTGGGCAATGCCAGTGGCTGCCCAGCCCTGTGTACCTGCAGCGGAACCACAGTAGACTGCCATGGACTGGGTCTCAAAACCATGCCAAGGAATATCCCCCGCAACACTGAAAGACTGTGAGTACGATCTCTGCTTTAGTTACTTCTCTGTGTGGGCGCATGAATGTGTGTTTGTATAAAAGAAGCTTTAATATCTTCGTTTCTTACTGGTTCCCTTCTATTTCCTTGATACATTGTAGTAGTGCACACGACTTTGCTTAGACTGAAACAGAACAATAGCCCTGCCTGTAAAGCTGCGTGTATGTGTGTGCATGTGTGTGTGTGTGCATGTGTGTGTGTGCGCATGTGTGTGTCAGAGAGAGACTGTGTGTCACTCAGGCAGTCAGTCACTAACTGGCATTCCAGTCAGGTATAAATAGGCATGAGGGACTGGCAAGACCAGAGGCAGATGTGTGCCTTTCACATGTGTCCATAATTTACTTATTTGTTTATACTTGCAGCATGTAGCTTCATTTTTTCCCCTCAATTTTGAAGCTAAAATACATTTAAATACCCCTTTCTCTTCACTTTTTTCATATAAATGTAGAGTTTAAAAAGTAAAGTCTGACTTGAAGTTTAAGAACAAGGTTTGACATCCAGTCTGCGCCACACTGTGTCGCTTTGCCTCTTTTCTTACCTCTATTGCAGTTTTTACTTTTTCTGCCTCTCCCCGTTCTCCCGTCTCCCCTTCTCCAGCTCCTCAACGCGCACTCCGCAAATTGTTAAATGATGGAGAAAATTAAGCAAATCAGCTACTTAGGCGAGTCTTGCACTAGTATCACGTAGCTGTCTTGTCAAACGGTGGGAGGATGGGAGACGGCGGGAGAGATGAGGCGGATGCTGGCTCGCAGAGTGGAGTTTCTCTGTCTTTTCTGACATTCTTTTGAAATATTCATCAGCAAATCAGAAGTGAGGAGTGCAAGGGGAAATAGATTGTTCTATTTCAGCTTTTAGAATATCAGTGCTGAATAAAACATGCTGTGGGAACAGAGGAGAGAAAGCCTGTGTCAGAGGCAGCGTTGGCATAGTGGGAGCCGGCTGCATATTTTATGGTTTTCATATTTAATTTCTAAGAACACCTTTTTTTTCCCTGCTTCACGCTCTGCATGTTACCAGGTTGCATTTGTACATATGCTGGTTTAACAGTGAACCGGAGAGGAAACATGGTTATTTTGTGGTTTCCTTTTACATGAATGGCCATTCACACTGGAACGATCCCCTGCCCCTCTGCTCAAGAGTATTTTTGTGTTAAAAGTTGTTTGTTCATTCATAGGTCATGTACAGCTGCACATTTTATCGCCGTAGCATCTCACTCAGGACGTTGCATTTTAAACACAACGTACTTAAAGGTCATGTGTAACTTATTCCTGCGTTGTTGCCTTTTTCCCCCCCCTCTGGTTACGTGTGTGCATGTATAAGCTGTGTGTCTAGGTCATGTTGAGCGGTTCTGCTTAACAATAGAGACAATCCTCTGAGGGTTGTTGTAAAGGGTGATTCATCAAGGTGATTGCACAAATCAACACCAGCCCCACATGATGGTCCCATGTGCATAGCGAGATTTATGTGTATGTATTGGGAAAATGTGTGTTTATCTGAATGAACTTGTGCAGCCACTGCTGGGGTCAAGAATGAGTAATGACTTGTCAAGTTTATGTAACTGTCCCAGAGGTTTGTTGCCCTCGTCTGTACCAAACGATGCTAACGGACACTTTCTTTTCATCAATTTGAATCGTAAAGATTTTAATTGTGTGATGCTCCAGTACATATAACTGCTGAACTTTAATACAAGGGAACGAAGTATTAGTGTTAGGAGGCTAACTGAAAAGGCTAACGTCATACAAAAATCTGCACTTTACCTTGTAAGGCTGGTTTTGTGCTGCATTTGTGTGAATGGGTGTACTTGCTCTCATGTATACAATACTTTAGTGTGTGTTTGTGTGTATGTGTTAGAGGAGGAGGGGGTTGCTTTTGGGAGAAAGTGTTTGTGCGTGTGTATGTAGGCTGTTGAGACAGACAGCAGAATCCCATTTGCACTTGTCACTGTGGGTTTGGATCAGGTCTGACCCCTGCGCTCCTCAGACCGAAGCCTGTAATGAGACTGTGAGCTCCACGTGTTAAAATCACACCCTGGCGTGTATGGGCCGCTGGCCGCTCCCTCCCCCCTCTGCTTTCTCTCTGCATCCATCCTCTCTCGCTGTCTATTTCTTTGCCTCTCCTCCCCTTCTCTCTTGGCCTTTTATCAGGCAACACTGAGAGAAAATCTCCATCTGTAATGCTGATTAAATTGGCTCGCGCACAGTAAAGGATCTTAGTTAAGCTTTTTGTTTGACAGGTATGAAATTAAACTCTTCTCTCTCCTTGTTTTGTCTTCTTAACAGCCCCGCTCTTTAGTTCGAGTGCGTGTCCCATCTGTGAATGAGTTGATTTGAAAAAGGGGAGGAGTTGTGTGTGTTTTTGCGAGTGTGTGTGTGTGTGTAACTGCAAAACGTCTGTGCACTGATTATGTATTTTCTGTGCCAGAAGATACCTTGTACTGAGATGCGGGGGCATGTTGGAGCCCCTCCAGAGTAGAGGAGTTGGAGGCTGCACACCATATGTGTGTGTTTGTGTGTCTGTTGTGCAAGCCTGGATAAATCTGATGTTCGCTTTAGTTTGTGCATAAACCACAGCATGTGCTTCCATGTGTGTATGTTGCACACAAGCAGAGAATAAGCGATAGCCAGATGAAAACACATGAGGATTAGTAGTGGTTAAAGATGAGCAGCCCGGTCGCTTTGATAACCACATCTATGCATTTTGGGGTTGGAGGTGGTAGGCGTGTGTGCCTTTGCCAGGGAATGCCTGTAGTGTTTCTGGCATCACCACATAGCTGGTACAACTGACAGCTCACTGGCCACCTGATCCATAATTTACCCTGACAAGACTGAACACAGCCTGCCTACTACCTGCCAACACTGGCTGTGTGACTAAAGTGGAGAGCGCAAGATGGAAAAAGACAAAGAAATGGGGGTGAAGGGTGGAGCTGGGGGGTTGGATTGAAAGCACGATAAGAAGCCAAGGCTGGCACAGTAACTAAAGTGGTAATCACTAATGAAAGGATTACTACACCAGAGCAGTTAAGAGAGATGTAATTCAACCACAAAGCTAATGAATGAATAAACTAGATTATGTTATTTACTATACGGGGCAGAATAGGTCTAGCCCTGAGGCAGACTGAATTTCATTCAGGTCTTTTTTACAGTCTAATATATCCATCCTCATAGCTGGTAATCCCATGAGGAGTGATAATGCCTGGAATGAAGATCATTCAGAGAATGTTTATGCACAGCAGAGCATTGTGAAATTACAGGCCTGGGACTCTGTCATTTCAATTTACTGCCTGTGTAACACAGCTGTGGTCTTTCCTCTTGTACTGAACACTGAGGTGGATGTCCTCTCTCTCTCTCTCTCTCTCTTGCTCTCTTCATAGCTGCCTTTTGATAGAGGATTTTGTGAGCTGTAATGTAAATGAGGTTTTGCAAGCTATAGTTCCTCCTATAGTCCACTGTGCTCTTTCAGTTTTTGTTCTAATAAACAATAAGTCACCTTTTTACATTTTGCATACATGTGTAGAAAGTGTGAGTACGATGACTGACTCGTAAGCCTCAAAGCCACCAGCTGTGTTACTATACACACCGCGGGCCCACCGGCCCACTCTTCTAATGAGTACAGCTACTCTGTGGAAGTGTTTAATTGAGCCCGCGAGAGCTCGGAAATGACCCTATCGATATAACTTGAGTGCACGTGTCTATCAGGAAAACACACCAAAACCAAGGCATGCACTTTTTCACGAGCCTAACATATACAGTGTACATTACTGATTGCTCTGCATGGCTGTGTACGAGGGCCGGTTTCTCAGAAGACCTTGAAAATCAAATTTGGAAAATCCACCTAGATCACCTTTCATCTCTCAGAAGACCATCTTTCCTTTTAACCCTACTGACTAGCCAGTAAGAAGCAGGAAAGTGGAGGGGCGGGTGATGTCTGTTCGTGTGTAAAACGCGCATCAGTGAACACTCTGCTGATATTGTGGATATGCCTTCATAATCCATATTTCACGCTGCTCGAGACACTTCTGTTTGAGAGAAGTCTGTGAGCAAATTATGGGCAGCGTTCCACATGAGCTTGACATCTGCACACTAATTAGATCAATATGGCACAGGACCGCAACATTAGAGCTTGGATATTTATCAAGTTGTTCATTTTATAATTCTCAATAAATAATGCATCGATTAAAAATAAATAAAAAAATGGATCCACACCTTTAGAACTCATATTTTACGATTAAATATGACACTAAGTTATTTAGAGCTTCAACTCACAGCTGTTTCTTTCTCATTTTATTTATTATTCCATTTTATTGTCTATCAAATATCAGGGAACCGAAGAAAAATCCTCACATTTGCACAGCTGCAAGCCGTCAGCTTTTGGTAACTGTCTGAAACGAGTAAACGATCAAAATGATGATAGATTTTCTTTTGAAAATATTTAAAATGGCCCTGTTTTTGCAGTGGGGGTTATCCGTTTGTTGATAGGCTAACCTCTGCAAAGAGCTGGAGGAATGCTGATATCAGTGTGCTCTGCGGGGGTGAGAGTCATACGTATGGCAAGTCTTTATTCTTCGAGGCCATCAGATTTAAACACATATGCTGCGTCCATCAAATTACCAGTCAGTGCACATCTGTGAGCCAAACATCTTGTCAGTCTTCTGTTTGGAACAAATGAAACATAATAGATGTGGCTGTGCAGCTGTTTCATCCATAGTTTCTAGTCAAAGTACACATTCGTGTAGCTTAAAAGCCTTCATACGGCATGCAAAGCCACAATAGAACCTCAGAATCTGTCACTGAACAAACTACGGTTACAGTACAAACCATGAAAGACCCTTCAGTCTCTGCCTCTACTACAGCCCCGTGTGTGTTCCTTTTCCAGCCTGTGGCCGTAACACACATTGGAACAGATGTTTAATTGATTCAATTCAGCATGAGAAAGTGCCGTAAGTTATCTATGTTTGATCAGAAGCTGTCTGTATGCTACTT